CCCAAGGCAGGGGCTGTTGCCACCCCACTCTACTGGCTCCCAGCCCCGCCCCCAGGAACTATTAAATAATTGTGTAACCACTAAGTTTTTACATGATTGTTCAGTTACTCAATATCTAACATCCCCAATATTTAGCTCTGCGTACTTCCACAATCCTGCCTTGTGGAGCCAATGGGAGTTTTGCCACACATGTGGAGCAGCATTAAGGTCTCTTTCACTTTCCGGGGCTATTATAGTATTGCTATAATACTATAGAGCACCAGACTGGACTCTGAAGATCTAGGTTCTATTCTTGACTCTGCCACTGGCCTTCTGAGTGACCTTGGGCAAGTCACTTAACCACGCCATGCCTCAGTTTCCCCCTCTTTATCTAGGGAATAATGATACTGACCTCCTTTATAAAGCACTTTGAAAGCTACTGAGGTTATATAAGAAAAGGGTTATATAAGAGCTTGGTATTACAATTATTCATGGGAATTAAAATATAGTGTTTTCAAGGACCCATGGCTGCAGGTCTGGCACTTGTATACATGATTCTACCAGTTACCAGATCTGATCTTCCTCTGCTTTTCAGTTCCTAGAAGGCCAGTCTCCTGTTACATTATTCACATCAATGGCTCACTGAGGCACAGAATATGGCCCATAGGAAAAACATAAACACAGAGGCCGACGCCTGGCTGGACATTTGGGTTTATGCAGGTTCTTGCCGAGTTTGGCTGCAGAGCCCAACTTTCATCCAAGGTTATCAGGGCAATTAGTATGCCTGATGGCCCCCTGCAGGAGAGGTAAATGTATTGTTACCCTTGCTATCCTGATGGGGAAACTGAGGCACCAAGAAGGTGCTTTATTTGGGTGTGCTGAGTCCACAGCTCAAGCAGGACTAGAAACCAGGGGCCCTCCTTACTGAGTACGCCACCCCCTCCCTCCTTGCCTAGACGTCAGATTCATTTTGTTAGGTGACTTTTCTTCTCTTGACTGACATGTGCCGAGAAGAGTGGAGCCGAGTGCTCACCGTGCTGTCTCCTTTCCTTTTCCAGGGGTGGTGGAGGCATGCCTCCTGCACATGCTGAAGCGCAGAGCCGCCGGCTTCCTCCGGACCGATAAGGTCGCCGCTCTCTTCACCAAAGTGGGCAAAACATCTGCGGTAGCGGGGGACATCTGCAAGAAAGTGCAGGAGCTGCAGCAGCAGGCGGAAGGCAGGTAAGCCCAGGGGGCTGTTCTTAAAGTGAGAACATTGTGGCGGCTTGAAGGGGACAGCGAGAGCTGGTCGGAAAACGACTTGGGGCAGCTTTCTGGCGCCCCAGTTGAGGCGCAGGAGCCCTGATTGCACCCGGTGCTGTCGAGACAAAGGACACCCCGCGCGGTCTGGGTTTGGCCTGGGGATAATGTGGACGGATTGGGAGGGAGGAGGATCAGGCGACAGAATGAACAGAGCTTAGTGGAGAAGCAGATGTCTCGGCTCGCCCCGGGCCCAAACCAGTGCCAGACGGGAGTGACTCGCCCACATTGTGCCAGGGGTCGGTTCTTTAGGCAGCAAAGGAGGCCTGAACATTTTTCTTTGCTTGCTTGTTTGAACTTTAAAAAATCACCCCCTCGCTATCCATTTCTCCACCCTATGTGCACTGGGAGAATCAGAGGAACAGGCAAGCGACACCACATTCAATCCACCCCAGTCAGCCTTGTGCTAGGCGCAGTCTGGACACACCGCAAGACCCAGTCCCTTCCCCACCGTGCGTACGCTCCAATGCCGGGATCCTGCAGTGTCCTCGCTGCTGGCTGGTTCAGAGGCGGACATACAGGAGTAGGGGTCCCACCTGCACGGAGCTCGTTCAGGGAGCAGGGCCTGATAAATGATGAGACACCCCAATGACTGGGACAGATGAGAGGAGGGAGGGGAAAGGCAAGAGAAGAGGAAGGAGACCGCGGAGGTGGAAGTAGAATCCTAGAACTGGAAGGGACCTTGCGAGGTCATCGCACCCAGCCCCTGCCCTCCTGGCAGGATGAAACCCGGATCTAGATCACCCCTGACAGGTGTCTGTCTAACCTGCTCTTAAATATCCCGAGTGATGGAGACTCCACAACCTCCCTAGGGAATTTATTCCAGTGTTTAACCACCCCGACAGGTAGGAAGTTTTTCCTAATGTCCAACCTAAACCCCCCTTGCTGCAGTTTAAGCCCATTGCTTCTTGTCCTATCCTCAGGGGCCAAGGAGGACAATTCCCCCCCCCCTTTGTAAGCCGGTACGGGCTGGTAGGGCGTACCTGTAAGAAAGTGGCTGAAGTACCTAAGCTGGTAGGGTCCAGTACGCCGATCTGGCTCCAGGCTCCATACAGTGCTGCCACTTTGAAGTATCCCTACCTCTCCCCCTCCCTTGGAGGCTGCAAAGGGGGGGGGGGGGGGGGGGGGGAGAGCTGAGAGTGATACAACAGCTGCCTGTGTTCTGCTCTTTTCCCTGTTCATTGCTGCCCCTCCGTGAAGAAGAAGGAGCCCTGTTCCCTTGCAGGACTGCTGCTGTACAGAGCCAGAGGAGATGCAGCTCAGTGGAAGCATAGGGGGCAGGGCTGGGGGGGGGCGGTTATATTGCCCTCCAGCCTCCCCTCCCCCAGGTAACAGGGGAAGAAGGTGGGAAGAGCATGAAGACCTCAGGCTGGGGGCAAGATAGAACCACGTGGAGGGGCACATGGGGAGATCACATGGTCTCCTCCTTACTTGGTGTAAAAACCCCCCCCCCCCCTCACACACACACACCAGGGAGAAATGAATTTTAACTTTCACCACTTGGTAACTCTGGGTATCCCTGTCCAACTTGAAACTGCCATTTTTAAATCCCCCTTAGTGTGGACTCCGTGCTTGCGGCTACACACGGCACGGAGTAGGTAGTTTGAATTGGGCTCTCTAATTAAGAGAGCCTAATTCTAAGAGAGCCTAATTCAAACTACCTACTCCGTGCCGTGTGTAGCCACGTGCACGGAGTCCGCACTAAGGGGGATTTAAAAATGGCGGCGCCCGGCAAGATGCAAATGAAGCCCGGGATATTTAAATCCCGGGCTTCATTTGCAACTTCGAATGCATGCATTAGCCACCCTAGTTCGAACTAGGGTGGCAGTGTAGACATACCCTGAGTGAATGTTGAAAGAGACTGAACCAAGATGAGCCAGAAAAATGGGATGGTCCTGCAGTAGGATTGTGTCTCAATAAACTTGATAGAACAGAAATAAAACAGAAATTTGCAGCAGTGATCTGAAGAAGCTCTGTCAAGGGGCAAGCAGGTCACCTTTAAAAGTCTGCACTCCCAACACCTTTCACTTTAACTCTTTTGCAGGAGGAATCAGTTGAGTGGGCAGGAGTCCCTCAAGAGACAATGTTCTGCCTCAGGCAAAACGCCTGTCCTAACGCCGCAGGCCCTCAGACACATCTGGGTGCGGACGGCCTTGATTGAGAAAGTGTTGGACAAAATCGTGCAGTACCTTGTGGACAACTGCAGGTAACGAGGGGAGCAAATGGCTGGGAACGCAAAGATTTGTTTGTCGACCAATGTGCACTGTGTCTTTGCAGCAGGGAACTTTGTCAAGTCCCATCCACAACCCCAGAGCTGATCAGAGAACAACAGTTAAAAAAGTTTCACCAAAATTTGTATTTTTTTTAAACATTGACAACATTTTAAATGTAAATGTCAACCTGGAATAGAACTTAAAGAATAAGTAAAAAAAATCTTACACATTTAAAAAATATATATTTTTACTACTTTTTTAAAACTTTGCAACGTCAGCTGGCCAGGGGTAAAATTGTCAAAGGACGTAAGTCAGTGGCTCCCAAACAACTCTGATTTATCTTTAGCATCCCCAAGTTTCACCTCACTTAAACAACTTGCTTACAAATCAGACGAAAACTACAACTGTGTCATATCATACTATTCCTGAAAAATCGCTGACTTTCTCATTTTTATCATATAAATTATAAAATAAATCTGTTGGAATATAAATATTATACTTTCATTTCAGTGTATAATATGCAGAGAAGTATAAATAAGTCATTGAATACAATTTCAGTCAGTAATGACTTTGCGAGTGCTTTTTATGCAGCCGATTGTAAAACCAGGCAGATATCTAGGGGTATGGCTAGACTGCGAGGATCTATCGGAAAAAGATACACAAAATGCACTCTGCATTTTGTGTATCTTTTTCCAATACTTTTGTCAGAAGAGGCTTTTCTGAAATTTGACCCATCTAGACTGGGCCAAATTTCAGAAAAATCCCGTCTTTCGAAAGCCCCTTCTTCCTCGTGGAATGAGGAATACAGGAGCTTCCGAAAGAGTGCATTTGCTCTTCCGGAAAAAAAAAAAAGTGGAAGAGCAAACGCATTTCCTCAATGCGGTGGAGTTTTTTTGGGATACCTGAGGTATCCTGAAAACCCCCCTACAGTCTAGCCGTACCCTAGATGTCTCCATACCCCCAAGGGTATACATACTCCTGGTTGAGAACCACTATCCAAAATAATGTAGGCACCTGCATTCTGTTGACTTGCCATAAGAATTAAATGTGTTCGTCATGTAGGTATTTTTGAGACACATGAATAGAAACGATAGCATGCCAGGAGACCATGTGTGCTCTGCAGAGGAGAGGGAAAAAGGAGAGAGGAGAACAAAGGATGGTGAGGAGTAAACATCTAAGAAACTGAAGGAAGGTCTGATTGGAGTAGATCAGTCCTGTGCCGACATGCTGCCTGTATTTGGGAGGGTTACGTTTGTGATGGAGATTTTGCCCTTCAGGGTTGGCAGAAGCTCAGGTGCCCTGTGGACATGGTGCATTTAGATTCTGGCAGACAAAAAAGAAGAGACTAAGGCGGGATATGATAGAGGACTATAAAATCATGACTGGCGTGGAAAAAATGTCAAAGGGAAAGTTATTTACTCATTCCCACCATATAAGAACTAGGGGTCACCAAATAAAATTAATAGGCAGCAGGTTTAAAACAAGCAAAAGGAAGTTTTTCTTCACTCAGCGCACAGTCAACCTGTGGAACTCCTTGCCAGAGGAGGTGGTGAAGGCTAGGACTTTAAACAGAGTTCAAAAAAGAGCTAGATAGATTCATGGAGGTTATGTCCATCAATGGCTATTGGCCAGAATGGGCAAGGATGGTGTCCCTTGCCTCTGTTTGTCTGGATATGGGTGACAGGAGAGGGATCATGTGAGGCTTACCTGTTGTGTTCCCTCCCTCTGGGGCATCTGGCATTGGCCACTGTCAGAAGACAGGATACTGGGGTGGATGGACCGTTGGTCTGACCCAGTGTGGCCGTTCTTATGTTACGTTCTTGTGACATGGACAAGCTCCAAGACATTCTATTGAAGTCTCCTTCTGGCCAGGACATGCCGAGGTGTCGCTCTCCCCAGCAAGACCGTCATCACCTTCCCTTATCTATTCCCACCCCCACAGCTAATGCAATCGATTGAGGAGTATAGCAGAGACATTTCGGTAGCCTTGGAAGAGAAGAAACCCTGAGGCCTGGCCTAGGTTAGTGGCTAACCGAGAGCCCGTCTGCCCACACTGACGATCCAACTTGCTTGGCTCTCATTGGTGGTGTGCAGTTGCGAAGAAGAGCGGTATTTGGGGGGAGCCCATGGGGCAGCTGCAGTATATAGACTTGGTCTTTCTCCCACGGTATTTCCCAAATCTGGCTTACGTTTCGTGGGCAGCAGGTCAGAAGAGGGATATTTTTTCCTGTTCTGTTTTCCTGTTGAGAGGGAAAGAAAAGATCTTTGTAAGGTTCAAAGAGAACGATTTTGTTAGTGTAGGGGTGGGCAAAAGGAGGCCTGCAGGCTGAATCCGGCCTGTCAGACTGCCGGATCCGCACACTGCTGCCATCCCACGGCCCAGCGGGAGGCTCCCTGCCTTCTGCACCCGCACAAAGCGACCGGCTGAGGGGACCATGTGTCCTGTGCCCCACAAGCCCCTGAGGGGAGGGCTTCACGCCCTGCTCCCATCCCCCAGCACAATCTCGCAGCTCCCATTGGCTGGTTTCCAGCTGATGAGGGCTGCCTGGGCCGTGCTTCTCACGCAGTCAGCGTGTGACACCTTTCCCCCCCCTCCGCAGGACTCACAGCACATGGTCCTCGCAGCCGACTGCTTTGAGTGGCGTGCGGGGGCGTGGACAGCAGGGAGTGTACCCGAGGTTCCCACTGGGCTGCTGGCCGGTAACCGCCTGGCATCCCATCCCCTCGCAAACCTTGCACCCTAATCTTGCCTGCGCCTGGCACCCGACCCCCTCCTGTACCCCTACCTCATGTAACCCAAACCCTTTGCACCCCCACTCCTGCATCCATATCCCCTCCCAGACCCTGCACCCCAATCCCCAGGTCACACTCCCCTTCCAAACCCCGCATTCCCTCCTATACCCCTCCACTAGGTCAGAATCCTCTCCTGCCCCCATGCCCATACTCCCTCCCAGATCCTACGCCCCCTCCTTCACTCCAGATCCCTGTCTCAGGCCGTGACCCCTCTCCTTCAACCAAACTCCTTTCCAGACCCCTTCTGCACCCCGATCCTCTACCCCAGACTCCCTTTCTGCACCCAACCACCATCCTAGACCCTGCACTTCCTCCATTAATATCATGGAAGAATGCGGCCCTTCAGCACGTATCGCATTCTTGAAGTGGCCTCCCCATCAAAAAGTATTGCCCACCCCTGTGTTAGTGGCCTCTCATCCCAGTTTGCTTAAAATTAAACAGCTGTGTGTGATTTGTGTGTCAGATTTGCATGGACCATGAGGGTATCCTGTGATTGGCTCTCAGGGAGATATTTTGGCTCAAGGCCTCAGGCTAACTGACCTCCTGTGTTAAGCAGGTTTTACCTGTCATGGCAGGACAGGACAAGTGAGGCCCACGATCTTGTCCAGGCACACTGCAGTGCTGCAGAAATGCATTAGGCTCTCCCGGGAGTAGAAGGGTTACTGCTTCCGTCTACAAGATTTGGGGTTGTTGCTTCACAGATAGGTATGTGCTGTTGCCTAAATTATCTCTGCCAACCAGGTGTGCTGATTGCACCTGTGCTTGGGGCACCACAAGCCTAAAGATATACATGCTTGGGGCAATGCAAACACAGGCCATGTTAGGCACCTAACTTGGAAAACCCAACCTGCTGTTGGTCAGACTGGTTCCCAGGCCAGTCTTCCAGTCCGTCCCAGTCTCTGCTACCAGGTCAGCCCTGCCAGGCTTGGGTCCTGTCCCTGGGAAGAGAGGTGCCTCGTGTCTGCTCCTAAAGCAGCCGCAGGGTTGGTCTGTTGGTTTGTGTTGCCGTGGTTTCCTGGCTGACTGTATCTGAATCCATGTGGAATGTGCTGAAAAGTTTTCTTGAAGATGAGAGAACATTCCTGATCAGGGTAATGACGTCACTCCCTGAATCCCTGGTGTTTCGGAAATCGGAAATGGCATAGAGTGTGAGCCCCATCTAGTGGGAGAGAGAAGCAAAATGAGAGGATGTTCAGAGGGACGAGGCGGGTGGGGTAATAGCTTTTCTTGGACCAACTTCTGTTGTGAGAGATCTTGCAAGCCACAAGGAGCTCGTCAGGCCTGGGAGAGGAACCAGAGTGTCTGAGCTAACTACAAATTGGGACAGATTGTTAAACGCAAGAGGTTCTCACATGCTGCAGGAGACCTTGTAAAGTGAGCAATTAAGGTTTAACGGGCAGTGTGGTGTGTTACAATTAAGTATGTAAATGAGTAACTAGTTAACTGGATACCCAATAACCATCAACCTTACCAGGTGGTGCTTACCAGTAACAAGTTAACCGGCACCTGGTCTGGCCCAAGCAGCCCCCGACAATGACACAGTGCAGTAGCCCCGGCCCAGCCTGGCCAAAGTGGCTCCCAAACCACAGATGGGGGCTGTTCCAGCCAGGTCTCCACCCCCTCTTAACTAGTTAAACATGTAGTTTAACTGGTTAACATTTTAAGCAGGATTTTGCATCTCTAGTTATAACATGTAACGAACCATAAAACCATTGTCCCTGTTAAGTTTGGGTATGTCTCAATTGCCAAGTTTTGTTGACAAAACTTATGTCGACACCCTTAAGTCGACAAAACAGAAATCGCCCCAGAGGGTGTTCACGCTTGCTCCCTCTGCCGACAGATCATATCCCCACTGAGGACCGGGGGGAGGAGCCCATCATCGACAGTGTGAGCAATACAGGGTGGGTATGTATCCCACAGACCTGGGTAGCGCTGATCCCTGTGCATCTTGAGATTTCATTGTGAGTAGCTCTGTGAGCTCTCCCTGCAGCAGCTCACTCGGCTGTCAGATACTTCCCCGAGCTTTGAAAGAGGAGGGGTGCATGCCAGCAGAGCAGCAGAGATCAAAACTCTAAGGCCATGTCTATACTAAACGGAGGATCTACATTGTGGAGATGGACCTTCCGGTGTTCGATTTAGTGGGTCTAGTAAGGACCCGCTAAATCAAATGCTGAGGATGACCCCATCGATTCCAGTACTCCTGGCAGTCACGAGGAGTAAGGGAAGTCAACAGGAGAGTTTCTCCCATCCCATCTCTGGGGACGCCAGAGAAATTTGGCTTAAGGTAAGTCCCTGGAGTTGCATATCTTAAGCCAACCTTCCGGTTTAGCATAGACCTGCCCTGAGCAGAGCTATCCAGGCAGGCATTGTGGGATACTGGCGGAAGCCAGTTCTGTCAACACAATAAACAGCAGTGTCTACACTGGCTCTTTGTTGACAATAAAAAGAGGGGAAAAGAAACAAGTCTCTCGAAGAGATGGAAGTTTTTTGTTGCAGAAATGGGGTGTTTTTCCTGACGAAAGGACATTGCAGTGTGTACGCACTCACTGCTGTGTCACCAAAGGGCCGACTTTGGCAACAAAACTTGGCAATGCAGACATGCCCTTCAGGGCTCCAGCAGAGTTACGAATTTAAGTCCCAAGGTTCCCATCTTTTGAAGGTGTCTTTGAGGATACCTTTTGGCAGATCAGACAGAGAAAGGTCGGTGTGTGAAAAGTGGGCGCCCAAGAGTGACACGGTATCTTTGTCTTTTATAACTGTCTGCGTGAGCTCATGCGAGAGCTTAGTGACTGTCCACAGAGTTGTTATGGGGGCATCTGATGCACACGTGGGACCCATGGATCAATTGGCCCGGGTCTGTGGGGAGCTTTCTTCTGGCGACGAGTATAGTGAGGCCAGAGGGTTGCTGTCAGGGCAGAAGAAAGGGGCTGGGGAATATTTCTTTCAGGATGTGTTTCCCTCAGATATAGCTTGATGAATCCGCATACAGGTTCCAGCATGGCCAGTGGGTGGCAGTTGGTTTCTGGATTGAAGCAGGCTTTCCCAGGGTGTGCGGGTGCCCGTTCCATGATGCGATCTACTTCTCTGGAGAGGGTGGCGTGTCCTTGCTTTGTGATGGTGGTTTTAAGTGCGTTGAGGTTTGTATCCCAGGCTCTCTCTTCAAAGCAAATTCTGTGGTAACTGCCTGGCTGGATGGAGATGATACCTTTCTTAGCATGTCTGGCGGGGTTGCTGGTCTGGGGGTCACTTCTCGGCTTGTTAGCCAAAATCAAATGTTGCATTACAGGCAGTGCTGCTAGGGTTCTCTCTCTCTCTCTCTCTCTCTCTCTCTCTCTCTCTCTCTCTCACACACACACACACACACACACACACACACACACACACAAAAGGAGCTAGCGGTGAGTTGCAGTGCTGCCAGGGTTCACACACACAGTCACACACACTAGGAGCTAGCAGTGAGTTGCAGTGCTGTCAGGGTTCTCTCTCTCTCTCTCTCTCTCTCTCTCTCTCACACACACACACACACACACACACACACACACAAGGAGCTAGCGGTGAGTTGCAGTGCTGCCAGGGTTCACACACACAAACAGACACACGCACTAGGAGCTAGCGGTGAGTGGCATTTTCAAAAGCACGGGCAGGAGCACGTGTATCTGCTGCCGGCACTGGTATTCACACTAAGCGAGTTGGGAGTTTTTGAAAACCCCAACCCTTGGCTCTAATCCACTTTTATGGTTTATTCCCAGCAAATACTATGAGAGAGAAGCTCTATTGGCAGATCCTGTGTATGGACCAATCCTAGCTTCTCTCCTTGGTAAGTACTTGAAATATTATCTCCAGTTGTGTTGGGGGTGGCTGGTTTTTTCTTATTGAATTTTCCCTGAAGCAGAGGGGTAGAAATGGAGACAGGCAAACTATTTGATTGCTGGCTTTGATGATTTGGCAGAATTGGTTTTATTAGAGCTCTTTCTACATGTAGCATCCCACTGGAGGGCATTGGAGGTACCGAGATAGCAGTGGCTGTGTATTACATGCTCAGCAATATTTCTGTGTCCCAACAACACCTGGCTTTTTAAGTGAGGTAATTTCTCCAGAATGCCAAGGTTACCATCAGGGCTGTTGACCGGGAAGGGCAAACATCTGAAGCCACATCTGGAGTATTGTGTCCAGTTCTAGGCTCCCCATTACAGAAAGGTTGTGGATGCATTGGAGAGGGTCCAGCGGAGGCAACCAAAATGATTAGGGGGCAGGAGCGCATGATTTAGGAGAGGCTGAGGGATTTGGGCTTGTTTAGTCTGCAGAAGAGAAGAGTGAGGGGGGATTTGATAGCAGCCTTCAACTTCCTGAAGGGGGGTTCCAAAGAAGATGGAGAGAGGCTGTTCACAGTAGTGATGGATGGCAGAACAAGGAGCAATGGTCTCAAGTTACAGTGAGGGAGGTCTAGGTTGGATATTAGGAAAAGCTATTTCCCTAGGAGGGTGGTGAAGCACTGGGATGGGTTCCCTAGGGAGGAGGTGGAATCTCCATTCCTAGAGGTTTTTAAGGCTGGACAAAGCCCTGGCTGGGTTGATTTAGCTGGGGTTGGTCCTGCCTTGGGCAGGGGCTGGACTCTGACTCCTGAGGTCTCTTCCAGCCCTGGGATTCTATGATTCTATCAAAAAGGATCAGCTGTGTCAGAGCCCGGTGATTTAAAAGGCTCCCAGACACTGCTACCTTGGCAGGAGCAATGGCTGGAGTCCTAGGCCCTTTAAATCACTGCCAGAGCCCCCGTCACACCCTCTCCCTGGGCCTGGCAGTGCTGATGGGCTGGCTGGGAGAGACTAGCCCCAACCCAGTCCCTTCTGCCTGAGGCTCTGCCCCTTCTGCCTGAGGCCCCACCCCCTTTGCCTGAGTCCCCACCCCTTCTGTCTGAGGCCTGAGGCTCAGTGAAATCTCTCATCAGCTCTGGTTATAATTATGCAGTGATATTGATAACTTCACCCGACTCGAGCAGAAAGCGTTTCCGTTTCACCTCTGACCTGGAGGACGAGAGTGAACAAATGTCCGTTCTTCCTAAAGATCCTCTCTCGTTCCTGTCCTCCTAGTTGGGCCGTGTGCACTAGAATATACCAAGCTGAAAACAGCTGACCACTACTGGACAGACCCTTCTGCAGATGAACTGGTTCAGCGACACCGGATCCATGGAGCTCACGGGCGCCAGGACTCACCATCAAAACGCCCGGCGCTGGGAGTAGGTATTTGCAGCACGCCCCTCCCTTGTTACTGGCACTGGCGGAGACCCCACGGGCAGGCAGAAGGGTGGACGTGGATTTAGATCACACCCACCGGCAGCCTCCCATTGCCAGGGATGGAGAACACTTTTGCGTGCGCCTTCGGCACAGATGAAAGCCCATTAAGTGCCAAATTTCCCCTCCACCCCTTCCCAAATGTAGGGAGATTTGAGAACCAGGCTGAAGAGAACCCAGCTGGGCAGCCACCAGTAGCTTCCCCAGGGCTGGAGCTGACATTAGTTCAGGGTGGGCAATAATTGGAGATGGGGGGGCCACTTCAGAAATTTTTTAAATGGCCCTGGGCCTCCCCAGAAGGGGCGGAGCCTAGGGTGAAAGGGGCGGAGCCAGGACACTTCCATGCTTCCCTGCCTACGGACTCTGATTGGCCTAAGGGAGGAGGGAGCGCGTGAAGTCTTCCCCCCGCCCCCAAAGAGAACTGCCAGAAGTTCTCAACATCTGGCCCAAGCCGCTGGTGGAGGAGGAGACTTCGCACACTCCCCCATCTCTAGGCCCCGATTGGCCCGGGGGTGGGGAAGCAGCAGGGAGTCCGTGGGCTGGATCGTCCCGCTTGGCAGGTTGGATGCGGCCCACAGAGGCCTTTTTGCCCACCCTGCATTAGTTGAATTTAGGGAGGACAAAGCTTCAGTTGAAGGAAGGGAGCTTGCTTAGGTCCCTGTGGCCTAATGGATACAGCATTAGCCTCGGGATTGTGGGTTTGAGTCCCATGCCTGCCCTAGGAACAACCAGGCAGCCGCCACTACCACTGGTCGAATTCTGTGGCTTGAGACAGCAAGAGTTTCACCTGATGTGCTGATTCCCAGCCTTGGGGAACAGCAACCCTCTTTGGCCAGGGTGAGGGACATGCCCCTCTCCTGCCTCTGTCATCCCCAGGCTGCTGCAAGAAAGTCCCATTCTAAAGGAGATTTCTTGAGGCGCCCTTTTTAGTGGGGCTGCTGCTCTGAGCGGGCTCTTCACATCGTTGCTTTTGGTACCGTGTGGCCTGCATGTCAAGCCACAGCTCTCGTGTCTCCTAGATCCGGAAGCGGCACTCAAGCGGGAGCATGTCGGAAGACCGGTTTGCGGCTTCGGCCAGAGAATATGTGGAGTCTTTGCACCAGAATTCAAGGACGCACCTTCTGTATGGGAAGAATAACGTCCTGGTCCAGCCCGTGAGTATCTGACCATCATGTGTGTGAGCTCATAGACTGGAGTGAGATACTGCTGGTTACTCAACTCCTTAACTCAAGTCTCCTGAATCCCAACCCAGTGCCTCATCCTATGGACAATCCAGCTCTGGAGGCAAAATCTGACTCCTGAGCCGGTCCAACAGAAGATGGATACATCACCCAAAAGAGTCATGGAAGCTTCAGGGTTGCCAAATGCCATCCTATTGGTCTCAGCCTGAGTATTGGGAGCTCTGACTCCATACCCAGGCAAAGACCTCACCAGTGGTACCCCCTCCCATCCGCCCCCGCCTCCAGTTCAACTGCGAGAGCTACTGCCAACCAACAAACCAACCACACCAAAACAAAGAGAAAAGTCATCAAACTGGGATTAAAACTGGCTAATTGAAATGGGTTTATACCCCTGCCCATCAAACTGATCTCCTCCATGTTAAATGGACTGAAAGCAAGAGCCTTGCTAAGGATTCTCAGTGGTCTAGGGAGCATGGGGGGCTTTAAACTGGGAGTAAGGAGACCTGGGGAACTTGGCTCTGTCACTGACCTACTACCTTACTTTGGGTGAGTCACCTCACCTCTCTCCACCCCTGTTGCCCCGTTCACTGTTTTGTCTGTCTAGACTGTAGATTTTCTGGGGCAGGCACTGTCTCTCACTATGGCTTTGTCTACACTACGCACGTGAAGTGTTCGTTAGCATTTTCTTGCACTTCATTTGCATAGTCTCTTCCAATCCTTTTTGCACATGAGGTTTTTACGCAAAAACAAGTAGTGTGGACGTGTCCGTTTGCAAGATCTTTATGCCTGTAAAATAGACGTATAAGGATGTTGTGCAAAAAGGGGTTTTTTGCACAAAACGGACACGTCCACACTACCTGTTTTTGCGCAAAAACCTCTTGTGCAAAAAGGATCAGAAGAGATTATGCAAATGAAGCGTGAGAAAATGCTGATGAGCTCTTCATTTGCATTGCCTCTTCCGCAAAAAAACGTAGTGTAGACATAGCCTATGTGTGTACAATACACATAACGGGGAGAGTGTCTATTTCAACTACATCCAGTGGTGCAACTACAATATAATGAATGAGTTTGTGTTTAGGTAATGTAGTCAACAGTTTAGAAACTCATTCATGGCTACTTGTTGCAAAGCTCCATTCGCATGCCTCAGCCTCGAAAAGGCAGAAAGATGGATGGACGGACAGACATACACATGCTTTAGGAATAGTCGGGGGAGAGGGTTGATTGTTTTGCTCCTGTCCAACAAGGTTGTTGAACAGGGTTAAGATGTTTATTGCTGGTGGGTTTGGAGCTGTTATATCTGCCCCAGGATTGATGCTGTGAGCTAATAATGTCAAACACCCAGAAGACAGATTTGCGACTTGATCTTCTCTGCCAAGCAAGGAAAATGGCTTGAAAGACCGTCGTGAGTTTATAGAAAACTCTTGGCCCTGTCAAGAGCTTGAATTTATCACCGTTTCTGCAGCCTTAAATCCCTTCCCAGAGCTCCCACTCACTGGCAGCTTGCAGAGGAATAAATTGAGGTTGTCGTGAATTCGTGGGCATGATGGTAGCACATAGCAACCCCAGCTGACATTGGGGCCCGGTGCACTAGGCCTACGTCTACACAACATCTCTCTTCCGCAAAAGCCTATGCAAATGAAGCACGGATTAGCATAGTGCCACGCTTCATTTGCATTATTAATTAGGAGCTGGTTTTGTGCAAATCCCTCCTCTTGCGCAAGAGCTGTTTTTCCTGAAAAAATGAGGAAGCACGACTCTTGAGCAAGAGGGGGTTTTTGCAAAAAACCTCTTGTGCAAAAACGGCTCCTAATTAATTATGCAAATGAAGTGCGGTGATCTGCTAATCCGCGCTTCATTTGCATAGGCTTTGAAAGGAGCTCTCCAGCAGGGCTACTCAATACATGGCCTGTGGGCCACATGTGCCCTGTGTGTTTGCGGCCCGCGGTGCGGTTTGGATTTATGGGGGGGCTCAACACATGGCCCGCGGGTGGTCTGCTGTTAATATGCGTTTTAGTAGTTACATTCCTGAACTGTCATTCTCATTAAAGTGCTGTCATATGGGGTAAATAGTGCATTTTAGTAATATCAGCAGAACTGACTTAAATGGGGCCTGCGTGTTGTGTAGTCTTGCCTTAATCTTTGTATTCATGCCCGTCAGAGTGAAAGAAGCCATTTGCATATATTTGCATGTATATGCAACTGCACTTAAGTTGTGGCTGTCTGCATGTGCTGTGAGCATCATCGTGGCCCTCGGAACTTCCAAAGCTGAGTAGCCCTGTTGTACAGCCTAAGCTGAGAGGCAGCTGGCTTTATAGCTCAAGCTGTAGAGGCTACACTAAGCTCCAGAGGTCCTAGCTTCATATCTACTTGGTGGCAGTTAAGCAAACTTGCTGGGAGAGACCGTCCCTGCCCTGAACAGCTTATGCTGCCCAAGAGGGGAAGGGATAAAAGCGGAAGCCCACAGAGGGGAGATGCTTTGGCCTGGGTAACACTGTTGGCAGAGCAGGGAGGGCTGTTTGTAGGCCCAGAGTGGATCTGAAAACACACTGGCTGTCATCTTTAAACCCCAGATTTCCAGAGGCATGGGGCTCCCATTGGCTGGCTTTGTGGGTGCTCAGGTACCCACAACCCCTCACTGTTAATGGAGGAGATGGGAGTTTGGAAGCCAGTTGGGTTTCCACAGTGGACGGGGACAGGACTAGCCAGCTGGCTACGGGCCTGAGTCCAAGTGCTCTTGGAAGGGGAGGATGCACTGAATAAGTGAGGCTCGTTGAGAGGATTCTTCAGGGTCAGCCTGCTCTCGGGGACCTCTCCTTAGGGCTGACATATTCCACAGTCGTACACATCAGGATGTCCATGCGCTGGTCTTTGTGTATTGTTTGAAACAGAAGGACGACATGGAGGCAATTCCAGGCTATCTCTCCCTGCATCAGTCAGCAGAGAGCTTGACTTTGAAATGGACACCCAATCAGCTCATGAACGGCACCCTGAGGGACTCGGAGCTTGAGAAAAGGTAACACGTCCTTTGCAGAAGCGCTTGCAGCATTTACGCTAGGTCTCCGGCTGGTAGACGTGACGCAGCTAACCGTGATGGGAATAACAGGCAAGCCGGCCTGCTGTTGTGGGGGGTGGGAGAAAAGGGCAGTTGCCAAGAGGCATGGTGATTTAAAAGAGCCAGAGGCTATCACGGGTGGTGTGGCAGCCAGAGCCTCGGGTCCTTTAAATTGCCACTGAAGCGCCATGCGGCACACTCCGGGAAGTTCTCAGGGTTGGCCAGCACGGCATGCTCTGAGCAGTAGTGAGGGCTGGCTGCCCCAGGCCACACCCCTTTTGAGGGAGGCCCCGCCCCTTCCAGGAGTACTGCAGAAAGGGATCTAGGGGTCACAATGGACCACAAGCTAAATATGAGTCAACAGTGTGATGCTGTTGCCGAAAAAGCAAACATGATTCTAGGGTGCATTAACAGGAGAGTTGTGAGCAAGACACGAGAAGTCATTCTTCCGCTCTGCTCTGCACTGATTAGGCCTCAGTTGGAGTATTGTGTCCAGTTCTGGGTACCACATTTCAAGAAAGATGTGGAGAAATTGGAGAAGGTCCAGAGAACACCAAAAATGACTAAAGGCCTAAAAAACATGAGCTATGAGGAAAGACTGAAAGAATTGAATTTGTTTAATTTAGAAAAGAGAAGACAGAGAGGGAACACTATAGCAGCTTTCAAGTACCCAAAAGGTTGTTACAAGGAGGAGGGAGAAAATTATTCTCTTTAACCTCTGATGATAGGACAAGAAGCAATGGGCTTAAATTGTAGCAAGGGAGGTTTAGGTTGGACATTAGGAAAAACTTCCTAAATGACAGGGTGGTTAAACACTGGAATAAAGGTCAGGAATCTCCATCATTGGGGATTTTAAAAAACAGGTTAGACAAATACCTGTCAAGGATGATCTAGATGGTACTTGGTCCTGCTGTAAGGGCAGGGGACTGGACTTGATGACCTCTCGAGGTTCCTTCCAGTTCTAGTATTCTGTGATTCTATGATTCTTTCATACAAATAATAGCATTAATAAAATGCAAGGATTTTTCAGCCATTTTCCAGAATAATTTTTATTGTGAACTAATATTAAGAAAAATGGTAATGTTTGCTGGGTAGCAGTGCTGAAATATTTACTGCTTTAGATTTGTGTTTGCTGGGGCAGCCTCATTGAATCACAGAGACACACAGGCAGTGTTACCCTAGCATACATCAGATAACATGCTTTTGCAAACAATATCATCCAGATTTAGGATCCATTTAAAATGAACAAGTCTTTTTCCAGCTCTCCAGGGCCACAGAGCTAAAAGTCTCCCTCCCATTATCACAAATCTCATTTTTCTAGTGCCTCCCCCTTGCAAGATATGAAAGTATTTCATAATCCAGCCTCAAACCAGCCCTGTGATATGATCACCCCTGATTAGATTTGTGTTTGCTGGAAGTACTGTGTCCAGCACCACATTTCAAGAAAGATGTGGAGAAATTGGAGAAGGTCCAGAGAAGAGCGACAAAAATGATTAAAGGTCTAGAAAACATGCCCTATAAGGGAAGACTGAAAGAATTGGGCTTGTTTAGTTTAGAAAAGAGAAGACCGAGAGGGGACATGATAGCAGTTTTCAAGTATCTAAAAGATTATTACAAGGAGGAGGGAGAAAAATTGTTCTCCTTGGACAATTATAATAGGAAAATTATAGTAGGACAAGAAGCAAAGGACTTAGGCTATGTCTACACTTCCACCCTCTTTCGAGAGAGGGATGCAAATGTAGATTTTCGAAATTGCAAATGAAGCTGGGATTTAAATATCCCATGCTACAGTTGCATATTCATGTTATGGCACTATTTTGAAATAGTAGTATTTCGAAAAAAGAAACGCTGTCTAGACGCGGTTATTTCAAAAGAAAACCCTTCTTCCGAAATAACTGGTAAACCTCGTTATAGGAAGAATAAGGGTTATTTCGGAAGAAGGGTTTTCTTTTGAAATAACCGCGTCTAGACAGCGTTTCTTTTTTCGAAATAGCGCTATTTCAAAATAGCGCCATAGCACGAATATGCAAATGAAGCACGGGACATTTAAATCCCAGCTTCATTTGCAATTTCGAATGTCTACATTTGCATCCCTCTCTCGAAAGAGGGTGCAAGTGTAGACAGACCCTTAAACTGTCGCAAGGGAGGTTTAGGTTGGACATTAGGAAAAACTTCCTACCTGTCAGGGTGGTTAAACACTGGAATCAATTGCCTAGGGAGGTTGTAGAATCCCCGTCACTGGAGATATTTAAGAGCAGTTTGGATCGACATCTCTCAAGGATGATCTAGTTGGTGCTTGCTCCTGCCGGGACTCGATGACCTATCAAGGTTCCTTCCAGTTCTAGGAGTCTAGGATTCTATAATGCAGTGTGCTGTCTGCAGCAACGTTTTAAACTGGAAGTGTGGCCACAGTAGGAGTACTGGGAGAGAGTTCTCCCAGCACTCTGTGTAAACCATCTCCACCAGGGGAGTAGCTAACAGCGTAGGAGCCTGTTTACACTGGTGCTTTACAGCACAGCTGTAACTGGCTGTGTTTGGGGGGAGGGAGGGTGTTTTCACACCTCTGTGCCGGTGTTGATTTAGCCCCAGAGAGGAGCCAGTACCTGCTGCTTCAAAAGAAGGCGAAAAAATCCCTGCAGTTATGGTAGAATGTTCCCCTCTGGAAATATTTCTCTCTCACACCTGGGCTGTGTCTAGACTGGCAAGTTTTTCTGCAAAATCATCTGATTTTGCGGAACAACTTGCCAGCTGTCTATACTGGCCGCTTGAATTTTCGGAAAAGCACTGACGATCTCATGTAAAATCATCAGTGCTTTTCCGGAAACACTATGCTGCTCCCATTCGGGAGGGCCAGTGTAGACATCATAGTACTGTTTTCCGCAAAAAAGCCCCGATGGCGAAAATGGCGATCGGGGCTTTTTTGCGGAAAACCGCGTCTAGATTGGCAGTGGATGCTTTGGCCAGTTGAGGGGAAGGATCTTGCTCCCATTGAATTGAATTGGCGCATGCGACACTGGGCCCCACTTGAGCCGACTCCTGTCACGCATAATTTGTGGCAAAATGGAACCCAGGTGTCCTGAATCCCGACCACAAATCTCCAGTGTCATGCTCCTGTTGCTAGCCAGCGGATGAGTGCTGCATGGGAGGGGAGCGACTGTGAACCCGCCGGCTCCAGACACATAAGTGATACTCAGCTACTTCCTCTGCCTCTTACTTCCTCATAAATTCCACTTCACCGGCCAAGTTTTGTAAGCGGCTCTTAATTTATGGACGTGCTTGTGCTTTTACTGGGCAGTCTGGCTACTGATGATTAAAACATAACATCTCCTGGGTGTTTTTTCTTCCTTTTAGTGTGTACTGGGACTACGCCTTAATCGTGCCATTTAGTCAGATTGTCTGCATTCACTGCCATCAACAACGTAAGCATAAACTTGCGTATCCCCCGGGGTGCCACAAAGACTCGAGGGTCCGGTGTCTGCCTGTGAAATGCTCGTGATGTCTGTATTTTTTATTGTTGACTCTTTGGTGGTTTTTCTTCACTGAAAGAGCCAGCGAGCATGACTAGGCCTAACGCTGTTTCCAGTGTCTCTTCGGGCTTGCTTTGGTCCTACGTCTTGATGGGACACCATCTGGATCTAAAAGCATGAGCCTCTACTTGAAAGGATCCTGCTGTGCCAGCCGAGGCTGTAGCAAGCTCAAACCTCTCCAGATACGGCCACACCATGGCGAGAAGCTGTGGGTGCTCAGTTGCTCTGAGAATCTGGCCTCAACTTTTTAATGGTTGTGGGTAATTTTAATGGGTGGAGGCCAAATAATTGTATTTCAAACAGTTACTAATATTTATGCAGAGTTGTTGTAGCCTTGTCGGTCTCAAGCTATTCGAGTAGGGTTGGGCAATAATTTTGGACCGGGGGCCACTTCAGACATTTTTTAAGTGGCCCAAAGCTGCCTGAAATGGGCGTGGCCTCAGGCAGAATGGGCGTGGCCTCAGGCGGAAGGGGCGTGGCCATGACACTTCCGTGCTTCCCCGCCCACAGATCCTGATTGGTCGAGAGTGGGGGAGCTGCAAAGTCATTGCCCCCGCCCGGAGAGAACGGCGAGCTGTTCTGAACAGCTGGTGGTTCCCTCTAGGTACCTGTGCCCCTGGCCCTGGGAGGAGACTTCACGTGCTTCCCCCTGCTGCCCCCAGGCCATTCAGGGCCTGGGGAGGGGGAGCATGGGAAGTCTCTCGCTCTCTGCCCTTGCCCTGCAAGGGAGCGCTGCGCTTAGAGTCAACTGCCAGCTGAGCGGCAGCAACTGGAGGTTGACTTTAAGTGCTGAGCCCCTTGCAGAGCCAGAGGAGACTTCACATGCTCCCCCCGCCCCCAAACCCTGATTGGCCTGGGGGCGGGGAACCACGAGCAGTCTCCTCCCGCCCTGCCAGGAGCGTGCGCACGCCGTGCACTCGTTGCAGGGCAGGGGCAGGGCGGTAGGAGACTTTGTGTGCTTCCCCCCGCCCCCAGGCCCTGAATGTCTTGGGGGGGAGGGAGTGGCAGGGCCTCCGTGGGCCAGATCAACTCACTTGGTGGGCCGGATCTGGCCCTCGGAGGCCCTTTTGCCCACCCCTGTATTGAGAAACAAGGTGGGAGAGGTGATACTTTTTATCAGCTCCACTTCTGTTGGTGAAAGAGTCCAGTGATTGGGTGCTCACCTAGGAGGTGGGGGAATCTTGGTTCAAATCCTGCTTCTGCCCATGAAACAAGGGATTTGCATGGGGATATCCTGGGAACTCCCCGTTCCACTGCCCTTGCTTTCTTTGGCGGACACTTGGTCTGACATTTCCAAAGGGGTCTGCATCTCCATTGGAAACATTGTATGGGTCCATAAGGGAAAAAAAGTCTTTATATTACATGGTAAAGACAAACTCATGCTGTTGTTCAGCTACACGGTTTTACTTGAGCCAAAGCCAAAGAAAAAAGCACAGAAAAAGGTATAACATCTATCGACTGGAGGGGCGAAATATTTCCCCACCTTTCCAGACCAAAACTGTTCTGAGCACATCATTGCATTATCGATTATATTTAGAATATTTCTGCCTACTTAGGGCAAAATCAGACTATGTTCCTGTGAGTTACGAGCCTTTTTGTGATTTGGGGGGGGGGACAATGGGGGGAAATTGGATGGAATGTCTAATACAGTTTAGCTATTGTGTGATATAGAAAAACTGCACCCCTGTTTGCTGCTACACCCATCCCTGTGGTGAGCACCAGATAAATGCCTGACGTGTGATTGCAATTAAATTAATATCTAAAGTGGGCCCAGGCTGTGTGAGTCGAGGTGCCTGTGGTAGCCCACAGTTGAAATTGCCAAAGTCAAGGCAGGCTGCAAAAAGGAAGAGCAGATTCTCCCAAACCAGGTGGTTAACACTGTAATTAGATTCAACAACCGGTCACCAGCTGTGCTCCTGATCCCACACTGGGTATCAAAAAGCCCAAAAAAGAAATCACACATCCCCCTTTCGCCCCCAGGCTGCCTTTTCCGGTTACAGGCTCCCAATCAGCACATAGGCTCAGTGCCATGAGAAGTGATTTAAAACTTCACTCGCTGTACAAAATGTTCTTTTGATCCCCAAAGGGCGAGCCACATTACCACCCCCATACTAGTCTTACCCCAAATACCATGCTGCCAGCCCTGCCTTTGGGGTCTCAAACTAAAGGGTTATTACAAAAGAAAGAAAAGAGACAAGAGTTGTCACATGGTCGGAGCAGTCAGATCCATGCAGGTTGGACCTCCCTTGTCCGGCACCCTTGGGACATGACCGGTCCCGAACGGGGGGATTTGCTGAACCAGGAGAGGTCCCTCTCCTCATGGCCTGCATTGCTATGGCACCACCAGGCTAGGGCTCCAGCCTGGCCCTGCTGCTTGCCACAGCTCCCCGGGGCTCTCTAGCTGCCACTGGCCCGCTGTTGCTGGGGCCAGAGTGACACAGCCGGAGCTCCAGGGCCAGTGCTGTACAGCTGCCGCTCCATAGCTGGGTTAGAGCTCTGCAGCCACTTTGCTCCAGGACCAGGGCAAAGTCCTGCAAAGTCCCTCTGGAATATGTCCAGAAGTTGGATGGAGCTGTCAGTCCTTTGGTCAGAGCATCAGCTTGTAGAGAAGTTACTCCAGAGGTGAGGACTGAAGCCAAAATGGAGCAGGCGCAGCTGCCTTTTTATATCCTGCGCCATAGGGCCTGTTCATTCTTTGCCCCAAACACAAGCTCATATAGACATGGAAGAACTCTTGGACTAGTCCCCTGACCGCAGCCATGTCCCGCTGACTCATTGGCGTAACCTGTGGCGTCTCTCAATGGGTTGATTGCACCACTGATTGCCCTTGATGGGCCATTAAGCAGGCTGGATAGTGCTGATGTCAGTCTGTCTGGGGGTGTCACGCAGAAACACAGCCCAGGTCTGAGATATCAATATATCACTCCTATTTATAACTCCCAGTACAAAGCTCAAACATCCATACAAACAAGGTTATGCGTAGCAAAGCATACCTTTTCCCTGATACCTTACATGGCATATCTGGTAAGGTTTTGTAAAATTGGCATTAATAATATTATAAATGGTTTCCCATATTCCATGTAGACGTCATCTAAAAAAATGCCTGCCAAGGTTTCCATAACTCTTGCTCGCTGGGAAACATCTGGGAAATGTCATATCTGTCTGGCTAGCTGTCCTGTAGTGCCATGTGATTCTGGGGTACAAACAGAATCCAGTTTGAAAGTCAGGTCCACTGATCCTGCTTGTAGGCTAACGAAAGGCAACCCAAGCTCACCGTGAGTTCTCTTTGCAGCAGAAAGAGGAGGGACGTTAGTACTGGTGAGCCAGGATGGGATCCAGAGACCTCCACTCCATTTCCCACAGGGCGGTCATCTCCTCGCTTTCCTCTCCTGCCTGGAAAATGGGCTTCTGCCACGAGGACAGCTAGAGCCCCCACTTTGGTCACAGCAGGGCAAGGTATGGTCCAGCTGAGAGGCAGGGATTTGAACTGTAATTTCTTCACAGAGCCACCGCATCCAGCACAATGCAGCCAGGGGGCCCTGGGAAGGACTGCAACGCAAATAATACACTCAGGACATGGGGAGGAACTTAAACGCAAAATAAACAACCCCACAGATTATCCCCTGAACAGTCTGGCTTGTTTATAAGGACACAGATTCTAGAGCAACCGGGTTATAGGTTCACCACTGACCCGCTGCAGTGGCACTTTAAAAAGGGGGCTGAAAATGACGCGGACAGGAGCATCCGCAGCCGAGGATATCGCCTAACTGGTAGACTCTTGCCGATCTGTGAAGGTTGTTAGGCTTTTACACGTCTTCCCGATAGCCTGACAAGGCTTTTCCCTGCTACCTTTAATGATCAGCTTCCCCTGGTTCTATATACGAGTGGCTCATGAGCTGCCCACTGGGTGGGAGGGGCTAGCTTTCAGCCCCTCCCCTTTTGCCAGAGGCCCCGCCCCTCTCACCTCTCCTCCCCCATAAATGCCTGCTGGCCACCTTGCCCCAGCCCCAGACCACCTGAGTGCCCCCAGCTTTCGCACCCCCAATCCCGGAGCACCAAGTGGTGCGAGCACCAGCCCGAGCCACCCTGAATCCTGGCTGCAGGTCAACCCCAGCCCAGCCTGGGTGATGGGGGAAGAGTGAGAACGGGAAGCAGGCAGGAGTCGGCCTGGAGGCAGCAGATGGAGGTGGGACCATACCAGCTGTTAGGAGAGGCTCAGTCTCCCCTGGCCTCGGATACCCACCTCCCATTGTTCCATATGCAGTAGGGTCATCATGGCTCTCATCCACGACTTGGGTTTTTAAAGGCTATGGTGGAAGATCTGTTCCCCTTTCCTGTTCAGTTGGAATTGTCTACCCAGCTCCCTTTCAAACCCACCGCTGGCTAGGGCACGGGCCTGCAGCCCATGCTGGCCTGCTGCTGGCGAGCTCCGGTTAGTGCACAATGCTTCCTTCCTTCATCTAAGGCAGGGGTGGGGAAACTGAGCCCCGGGGGCCGGATGTGGATCTTGGATCCAGCCCCCCTCCCCCCCACACACACCTGTGGAGCTCCAGTCCCCCTGCTGCCTCCCTATGGGGCTGGAGCACACAAAATCTACTAGGCTGCCTCCTCCCCCCCAGGCTCTAGTGTGTGAGGAGAATGTGGGGAGTGCCTTTCTCCTCATTTGGGGGCCAAAGTGAGGGTTTTTTTCCCCTGCTCCTCACTTGTGTGCAGCCCCCGACTGATTTTTCTGTGGGTGAGCAGCCCCCGGCGCAAAAAAGGTTCCCCACCCCGATCGAAGGGCTTGCAGAGCCATCTCCTGAGTGTTATTTTGACGCTGTTGTACTGCACTTCCTCATCTCCTGGTAACTGTACCCACTGGGTCATTTTTGCTGTAGGGTAAAGTATTTCCCAAACTCCGGAAGAGAAATAACAACAAGTCAGTGGACCTGGAGGAAATGCCAGAGGAATCCGCTACGGACTACGTCTTCAGAATTATCTATCCAGGACACAGGCACGATAACAGTAAGTGGCTTCATTGAAAAAAACCTAAAGGGTTAGGCTGTGATCTGTGGGCGGAAGAGACCATGCAGGTTTTTCTCGTGGATATTTGCCATAGAGGAGTTCTGCCTTGTTAGGTAATCGTGGGCCATGCTGTAGTTTAAAACGGGTTTCCGGAAAGCTGCCTTACCCCAAACGGAAGTGGAGAGTCCTGCTCTTGGAGCGACCCAGCGTTCTCCAGTTAAACCCACTGCAAAACTTTCGCAGACGGTCGGACGGCGACTAAATGCAACAAAATCCCCATGGCTTAATCCAACAGCAATTCTGCCCCCCACATGCAGGGGATTTTTATTTCAGAGGCAGCTTACTAATAAGGTTGTTATGAAGAGGAGAAAAGATAAATCACAAAAAAAGAAGACCCCCCCCCCACCAAAAACCCCACCAGCCCTATTGGCCTGGCTTTCTCTACTGAAGTTTCACAACGAATGGAGGGTGGGGGGCAGAACCCACCATCAAACTTCTTCCTCTCATCAGTGAAACTGAACTCTCTGTCTACAAGGGATCTTGCGCTCCGGTTCTCTCGCAGTAGGCTCATTGACATGGCCATTGGCGGAGAAGCCGGAAAGAGCAACATCTGGAGATGTTTAAATACGGCCCCCCAGTGTAAATAGGATTTGAACCCCACATTCCTGTCCCATCTAGAAAGTGGCAAAACCCAATTAAACATTCGCCCCTCCTTCCCATTTGCCGCCCCAGCGAACTGGCCTTAAAGGGGCCACGCGCTAGGCTCAATCCAGCCTGTGAGGGAATGTCTAAACGCAGTAAAACACCCACAAGCTGCCTATGTCAAGCCGAGCCCGAGCTCTGGGACCCTCCTTGCGGGGTCCCAGAGCTCGGCAGGCAGTCTGCTCCCACCAGCTAGAGGCGCTGCGGACTTTGTGGGCAAGCGCTGCTGGTCATGTCTGATTGAAATCTGGCCCACGCCATGCACCCTTTGCTCCTTGAGAAATGTTTCTTTCCCGCCCAGACGCACGGGCCTTCACGGGGTCTCTCCCCAGCGCCGATGCCCCTGTCTGTGTTGAACGTGTCCTTTGAGACTTCTCGGAGAACCGAGTCCTGTCTTCTTATGCTCCTCTTTCACTATTTTCTTTGAGCAGTAACTATTAACTACCACCACTTAGCTGCCAGCCGCTCTGCCTCAGTCGATGACGACGAGGAGGAGGAAGACAGGCTCCACGCTATGCTCTCAATGATCTGCTCTCGGAACCTCACAGCTCCTAATAGGATGAAAGGTTTTTATCCGCCAACCCCCGACCCTGCCCCGTCCGTGTTCTGTGGCAGCATCGCCCCAGTGCTGCGTACAACAGTGTTGGCATTATGGCAAGGCAAACGTTTTTCATTCATGCCCGCCTGGAAGGCGCCCAAAAGCTGGGGGAGCAGGGTTAGCAGCACCTTCCCCTCTGGCTCTCAAGGTGAGATCCATCACAGTGAACCACAGATCTATCTTGCTTCCAGAACCTGCCTCCTCCAGGCTCCCCCTTAAACATTCTATGAGCTAGGTCACGATTCATGGCATGTGCTGTCACAGAGAAGTAAGCAGATAGAAGAGGCCCCTGCATTTTGCTGCGTGGGAGATGGGTGGGGGAAGGCATCGGTGGAGAGCCCTGTCCAACATAATGGGTAGTGAGAAAATAGATGCACCGAGTAAAGGGCTGGTACAGATCACACCTCCTCAGCTCGTGCAGGGAAAGAAGAATAAAGCTGTAACTTCTTAGGGTGTGTCTACACTTGCAGCCTAATTCAAACTAGGGCTGCAAATGTAGGCATTCGGAATTGCAAATCAAGCCCAGGATTTAAATATCCCGTGCTTGATTTGCATGTTCACGGCCAGGCACCATTTTTGAAATGTACAAGCCCGGGCTAACTGCCCGCGTCTACACAAGGCAGGGAAACGGGCGCTCAAAATAAAGTCCTATTTCGAACTACCTGTTAAACTTCATTGCAGGAGGAATAACAGGTAGTTCAAAATAGGACTTTATTTTGAGCGCCCGTTTCCCTGCCTTGTGTAGACGCGGGCAGTTAGCCCGGGCTTGTACATTTCAAAAATGGTGCCTGGCCGTGAACATGCAAATCAAGCACGGGATATTTAAATCCTGGGCTTGATTTGCAATTCCGAATGCCTACATTTCCAGCCCTAGTTCGAATTAGGCTGCAAGTGCAGACACACCCTTAGGGAACATCTGTACACCAGAAAAAGACCCCCAGCAGTGAGTCTCAGGGTCCCTATACAATCTACCCTTCCGTGCACATGGAGACTTGTACAGACCAAGCAGCTTTTCGCATGCAAATGCCCACCTATCCACATACTCTGGATTCCTGTAGACTAGGCCCCGCTCCCATCAAAAAGCACTCACACCAGCAAAGTTTCATCCCAGCACAGAGGTGCTCCTCAGTAGATGATCAGGCCTCGATCAGGTTGTTCTGGAGATTTAGAATCCCTCCTGTCTTGAAGAAGGAAAGTGAGGGGCATCCGGCGGCCTTCGTCCGGCGGAGCAGAAAGCTGTCTGCTGGCCAGATGGAGCCCTAAGGCTGTAGAAATATAGCTGCATTGGCTCAAGAATAGAACAGAAGAGGAAAAAAAATATTTTCTTAGTTCTGCTCAATGCTCATGTTACCTCTCTCATGTTCCCGATTGTCCCGGGACTGACCTTATTCAAGAGCAAAACCCCTCCTCCCTTCATTATAGTAGCTGTCCTGGTACTGTTTCCATGCCTCCTAGCTGTGCTTGGAGCCATCATGTCTGCAGGTGCCATAGATTTAACACACTCTTCCTTTAGCAATAGAACCTCCTCCAGCTGTTGAGTGATATCAGGCATCTTGCTTTTCCTCCTTCCTCGGAGCTCTCACATGAGTTAAGTGCTGAGTGGACACCATTCCTGGCTTGGTGATGCCACCAATGGGAGCGAGCAGATAACTCCCTTGGGTCCATTCTACTCTGGACCTCTGCCATGATGCTATTTAGTTGTTATGTGGACCCCTGTCCACTGGGAACCTCACAGGTCACCAAAACTGTCATTAGATCTGATCGTGACCCAGCTGGGCTGGATTCATAGTCTATCAAAATGCTCTTGGTAGGGATGGAAGGAAAGAACAGCCCCAAAGATTTCCTCATCTTGTAGCAGGAAATATCTCTACAGCAGGTTTCTTATGCAGAAGGGACTTTGCAATGGCTTGTGGTAAAAGATCTGTCTGTGACATCGCATGCCTGCAAAAATGAGAGTAAAAATATAAGAGAAACTATTGCAACGTCCACTTTATTTGGTAGCTAGTCAGCTAATGGACATTTAAAGCCACCTTACTAGAGAGAGGCCCAGAAACACTTATTAAAAAGTAGTAAACAGCTTAATTAGGACCACCCACCATTTGACGAGTGATTCTTGAGGGAGCTAGGTTTGACTATCATTTGTCTAACCATCACTGCTCCCTTGACACAATGACAACACTGTTGTATCAGGTTTGCTAGCCATTTTGCTTTGAATTTTTGCAACATGCTTGACATTTTGCATGTGCCCAAAGTTGCAGATAAACAACAACAAAAATGAATGAAATGAAGATGCTGTTCACTCTAATTCTTCACTAATTCAGGTACCTTTCATCTGAATCCTTAGGTTCTGTGGGGTTCTCACCTTTTAAAAGTAGATGATTTCTTTAAAACCAAACAAAAACCCACCCACTTTTCTTGTCCTTGGAGGGGGAGGAAAAAAAATCTAAAAGGATTTGTTTGTCCAATGGTTTTTATTGGACCAAAAGCTGCAACATATACTGGGTCATTCAGCTCCTTCTTGAAGAATTAAGGTGAAGAGCATTTTTTCATTAAACTTTGTTTTGTGATGTGAAATATTTATGACTGCTTCCGCATGAGCCTGTGCTTTATATGTTAACGTAACATTCTATTATTTCCCTGCCGTTAAAATGCTTTATGCGACATTGATGGCTATATATTAAAAATGGAGTCCAATCTTCTAAAAAAAAAAGTTTTGTTCTCTGCAATGGCAGAATTTATGATACAGTTTGGAAATTCCTCCCCCATGCCAGGCACTTAACATAAGCATTTGAAAGCACGGCCAGAGAACTGGAATTGCTTGCATGTGTTAATGCAGTGAATGACGTTTTTTACTATGTCTTTTGCCTTAATTTAAATCCAAGGTGAGCTGAAAGGCCAGTTATTTATGAAAAGCGCCAGCAGTGTTAAGAACATGGGCCATCGTTTTCAAAAGCTACTCACAATTTTGGGGTTCTCAGGTTGAGATGCCTTTAAAGGGGGACCCTGCTTTTCAGAAGCATCCACCCTCTGAAAATCAGCCCTCTACGGTTTGGAATTGGGCACCCAAAATCTCTAGCTGCTTCTGTAAATGTTGTAAGTGCTGCTCCTGCAACTTGTTTCCACGTGCAGAGAGATTTCAGACACATGGATGTTGCATGAGTCAGAGCCTTAGAATCTAGTTTGTCCACTTGGGGATGATCCAGTGGAGGGCCATGGGGCGCCCAGAGAGGCAATAGTGATTTTGTGAAATGTTCCAGCACCCTACGTTTAAATGCACACGGAAAATGCCTTTAGGAGTGACGTGTTACCTTGGTGCTCATGTTGGTTTCATAAACCAGGCTTTGGCGGAGGCCACTTTAAAAACCAAAAATGCTCAAGAGACTGGGAAGAGAGGTTGCATTGTGAAGATGGGTCAATAGCACCATTCTCCCGGCAAAGCATTTTACTCCCAGGAGTATCTGAAAATCAGTGGAACCTGGTGCTGGAGTAACTTTGTACCTCTGTGAGTAACCGTGGAAAGGTCAGAGCCCAAATGGCTGCGTCCAGAATGGAGATGTTTATTCGGTCTCCTTTTGAGATAGAGCCTGTTGTTGCTCTGCAATTAAACACACAAGACGTTCTACTGCAGCTCAGCCAGAAGTGACGGGCTCAGTGAAAGAAGGGCTTGCGGTCAGATTAGATGACCATAATGGGTCCTTTGGGCTTTAACATCTATTCCTGCCGCGTAAGATTAAAATCAGCTCCTCTCTTCGGAAAGCAGATTCGCAGCCTATCTCACCCCCTGTGTTCGGAACAGGCAGGGTGCGGGGCCACCACATGGTTCTCTAGAGTATGTCTACACTTGCACCCTCTTTCGAGAGAGGGATGCAAATGCAGATGGGCGAAATTTGAATTTCCGGTGCTTCATTTGCATATTTGCGTTATGGCGCTATTTTGAAATAACAAACACTGTATAGATGCAGTTATTTTGAAAGAAAACCCTTCTTCTGAAATAACTGGTAAACCTCAGTGTAGGAGGAATAAGGGTTATTTCCGAAGGAGGGTTTTCTTTTGAAATAACCGCGTCTACACAGTGTTTGTTATTTCGAAATAGCGCCATAAGGCGAATATGCAAATGAAGCACGGGAAATACAAATCCACGCTTCATTTGCAATTTCGCTCCGCTGCGTTTGCATCCCTCTCTCGAAAGGGGGTGCAAGTGTAGACACCCTTGGGAAGCTGTGGAATCCCCATCACAGAGGTTTTAATGCTGCCTCGGCCCAAGGGGGCTGCTCGGGGTGACCTCTTGCAGTCCCTTGCAGCTGTCCATTTGTGGGATTCTGTGAAAAACTGAGCATACAGAGGACTCGGCTGGTTTAGAGGCGTTAGAGCAGACAGTAATATTTTAGGGTGGGTCGTTCTGTCCCTTACTGTCATAAAGGGAAGAGCCTGCAGCAAAGCAAAGCACCTGACATCAGAGGGCAGGGGCAGACAAACATTTATGCCCATGGGTTTTTCCCCACTTTCCCCAGACTCCGGCGACATGATAGAGATGCAGGGATTCGGTGCGAGCTTGTTGTCCTGGCAGCTGGAGCACTGCAGCCAAGGGTCCTCGTGCCTCTCCTGTTCGACGGGCAGCTCTCCCTATGACCTCCCCAGCTGCTGCAACTGCATTCACGACAGGTAAACGTGCTGGGCACGGGGAGCTGGCCTGGCTCTATCGGCAGAAAGCCACAGTGGCGGGGGAGAGTTCTGGGCTCGTTGCCTCTGGACCGCTTTGTGCATCGTACACACAAACGCCTGAATCCGGCCCCCTTTTAAAAGCCACGGGGGACTCGCTAGTAGCAACATCCGAGGCTGAGGTAAAAAAATTCTTGCAGGCGTAACTCCCAATTTCAATAGGGCCCTCGGCATCTAGGAGCCTCCGTTGCAGTGAAAATCAATGGGACATAGGCGCCTAAATTCCTAGCTCACCTTTGACATTGGGAGTTCGGCTCCTAAACCCCACTGGCCCTTTTCAAAATGGTCTTCAAAAGGTTTCTTCCGCAGGCCGAGGAGAAATCATCAGTGTTGCCGTGGCACCTGTGTAGTCAGCGGTGCGCTAACTCCGCCCCACAAGGCAAGGCTTTGCCTGTGGAGAAATCACCCCATAGACCTTTGCTCCAAGCAGCAATGGCCAGTATTTTGGGGAGATGCTTCAGGACTCCCAGGCAAATCCGGTACAGGCTACAAGGAGCACACTGTGCCTGGGCCAGCATGTTCCTGTGAGAGTGCTAGAGCCTCCCAAGGACAAGAGAGAAAGCCGCCTCCTTGTCCGCAGGACAGCCTTTGCTTGCCTGTCTGTGGTATAGCCCCCACTGCCAGAGCATGCTTAGAAGGGCCTCCCACTCATAATGTGAGAAGCAGCCTTCCCCCTACTTTGTCTCCCACCACTTCTTTTACAATGCCCTCTGCCTAGGCTAATTGGTGGTTACATTTGTCTGAGGTACTTTGTACCATCCATGGGACAGAGTGGAAGGAGGGTCCAGTGGTTAGGGAGCTAGCCAGCTTCTTGGGAGACCTGAATCCAGTTCTCTGGTTTCCTCTCCCTACCTTCAGAGCTGTGATGGCCGAGTGGTTAAGGTGTTAGGGTTAGGGTCATATCCTCCTCACAGCGAGGCCTGTGTTTAGTTCTGGGCACCACATTTCACGAAAGATGTGGAGAAATTGGAAAGGAGTGATAAAAATGATTAAAGGTCTAGAAAATATGTTCTGCGAGGGAAGACTGAAAGAACTGGGTTTGTTTAGCTTGGAAAAGAGAAGACTGAGAGAGGACATGATAACGGTTTTCAAGTACCTAAAAGGGTGTTACAAGGAGGAGGGAGAAGAATTGTTCTCCTTGGCTTCTGATGACAGGACGAGAAGCAATGGGCTTAAACTGCAGGGAGGTTTAGGTTGGAAAAACTTCCTAATTGTCAGGGTAGTTAAACATTGGAATAAGTTGCCTAAGGAGGTTGTGGAATCTCCATCTCTGGAGATATTTAAGAGCTGGTTGGAGAGACATCTATAGGGATGATCTAGACTAGGGGTTGGGAACCTTTCAGAAGTGGCGTGCCAAGATTGAACTTACTCACTTCTATTTACAGATCTGCATGCCTCCAGACGGAGTCCTTGGGGGTGCAAATCCCCGAAGGGCCCTGAGCCCTCACCTGTGTCCTGCGTGAGCAGGGTCCTCAGCCCCAGGGCTGTTGCATGGTGTGGCGCAGCCTAACCTGCTGCTTGGGACGGGGGAGGGTGCTGGCTGCTTGCGCCCCACGAGAACCCATCCCACCCGTCCGGGCCCCGCACAGCTCAATCTGCAGCTGCCCCGCGGGAGTAATCAAGCGGGCTCCCCACATGCCGACCCCTGATCTAGATGGTGCTTGGTCCTGCTGTGAGGGCAGGCAACTGGACTTGATGTCTTCTCAAGGTCCTTTCCAGTTCCAGTATTCTATGACCTCTCAGCCACGTTGGAAGACTGTTTGCATTAGAAGCTCGTGAGGCACTCTGACCTATAGCAATGGGGCCATACGGAGACCTGGGTTCTGACTCCCCACATGCCGACCCCTGATCTAGATGGTGCTTGGTCCTGCTGTGAGGGCAGGCAACTGGACTTGATGTCTTCTCAAGGTCCTTTCCAGTTCCAGTATTCTATGACCTCTCAGCCACGTTGGAAGACTGTTTGCATTAGAAGCTCGTGAGGCACTCTGACCTATAGCAATGGGGCCATACGGAGACCTGGGTTCTGATTGTCCTCGCAATAAATTGGTTTTACATCAGTGGACGCAAAAGGAGAATCAGGCCTTTTTGTCTATTATGGAGCCTCGTGTGTAGTGCTCTATAAATTCTCAGTAGAAGCCAGGGAATGCCGTTTTCATTTAGTGCATGTTCTCCAAGGACAGCGATTCATCGATTGCAGTGCTGTGCCCAGTCTAGTCGTTTAGCTTGTACTGCTCCCTGTGGGGGGTTCCTTGACACGCTTGTAGATTTGCACGGTGGGAAGCACTGGTATCTAGTAGAGCTTGGGCATGGTTTTTTTTTTTGCCTATTATTTGTTTGCTAGGAATGTTCCCCATTGCAATGCCCCCAGGAAGTTTTGTTTTCAAAAACTCCTTTAGTGACAATTTTGGTTTTTAAAACTGAACATTGTTCAGTGTCATTTTTATTTTTATTGAATAACTTGCTCATTTCAATCAATCAAAAAACCTCCAGTTCTTATGTCTCATGTCCAGTTAAATCAGTGGCAGAATTTTATGGGAATAGACAAACCAGCAATCCTGTGAAGGATGCTTACATCTCTATGGGTGTGTCTACACAGCAGGGCTTCACTCGAAATAAGCTACGCAAATAGAGCTATGTCAGTGGGAGTGTCTACAAAGCACTTATTTCAAAACAGAGCACTCTTCCTCCAACTTCCCTTACTCCTCGTACAATGAGGATTACAGGAGCCGGAGTAAGAAGTCCTGCAGCTTGACAGTATTTCGATATTATTTCGAAATAACTGCCGTTTGTGTAGACGCGGACTAAGTTATTTCGAAATAACGCCAGTTATTTCGAAATAATGTTGCTGTGTAGTGTTGTTGCTGTGTAATGTTGCTGTGTGCCACATTTTATTAATGGCAATGTTGTTGTAGCCGTGATGGTCTCAGGATATGAAAGAGACAAAATAGGTGAGGTCATATCTTTGATTGAGCCAACTTCTGTTGTTGAAGGTGCTAAGCTACACAGAGCTCTTCATCAATCCACCTGTCACTGTGGTACTGAGTTATCTAACCAGCCATTTGGCCAAGGATAGCATCCCAGGCAACAAAATAATTTTAAACTCTAAAGACCTTTTTCCTATTGGATTTTTTAAACCAAATCTGTCTTGGTTGGCTTTTGGAAGGGAGCATGGTCTGAAGCTCATTTGGGATCAGGGATGTGTTTCAAGTGGAACTAATCCTTTTTTTAAATGTTGCCTTACAGAACCCCATTAAAGATGCTGTGTGAAAGCATGAAGAGACAGATTGTTTCCAGAGCATTTTATGGATGTAAGTGAGGCTGCTTTCCAAACGGGACAATGCATGTGACTTCCGCTGGGTCATCCACTTGTTTGCGCTTAGAAGGGCTGCACAATGAGGCCACTGGCCATGTTTAGGTTAGAGGGGATCCAAGCCCAATTATAGGGGGAGACATTTGAAAGCCAAGTCCTGGTGCACATTTTGAAGGGTTGCCTTTCTCTTTATAACGAGCCAGAGCAACTTAGGACTTTAGAACGTTCATGCTCATGCCCCAGGTCTCCTGGCTGGGTAGTGCCAGGGACGCGACGGCCAGCAACCGTGGAGGAGGGATGATTACAGGTCAGCAGGGTGCTGTGTGCTTTCTCTAGTGCACGTAGAGACGAACGTTTTGCTTCCAGCTTAAACTGCGCAGCTCCAGCTTCAAAAGGAGCTGCTGGCACCCTCTTTGGGACCTGCTCGCTTATATGAGACCCTGCCTCCCTACCCCCTCTGCAGGGCTTGCCTACTGCCGCCACTTGTCCACCGTGAGAACGCATCTGTCTGCCCTCGTGAACCACTCAATTGTCCCGCCTGACAAACCTTCCAGTGCAACTGGAGGCCTGACAAAAGAGGTCTGGAGTAAATATCAAAAGGACAAAAAGGTAACGGACACAAACCCTACCCCCCAGTTCTTCAAGGGGAAAAGTCAGCCTCCCACTCACACGCTGCTCTAGGGGTTATGGCTTTTATCAGTGTCACTCCCCAATTCCGCTATCAGTATTTCTAAGGGTATGTCTACACTACATGGCTCCGTCGACAGCCATGTAGATGAGCTTTGTAGACATAGCAAAATGAAGCAGAGATTTAAATAATCACCACTTCATTTACATCAAAATGGCTGCCACGCTGTGCCGATCAGCTGTTTGGCGGCACTGCACGGTAGACTAGACACTCGGTGGTCGACATCAAAAGCCTTTGTCGACCACCCTGGTAAACATTATCCCACGAGGCATAACAGGACGGTCGACAAAGGCTTTTGATGTCGACCGCCGAGCGTCCAGACTACCTCACTCTGCCGCCAAACAGCTGATCAGCCATTTTGATGTAAATGAAATGGTGATTATTTAAATCACCACTTCATTTTTCTAGGTCTACAAAGCTCATCTACATGGCTCCGTCAATGAAGCCATGTAGTGTAGACATACCCTAAGAGTCTTTCCCAATGTCCATTGTTGCTTCTAAGATGGGACATGAATGGGCCAGCTTTGTTCTAATATTTCTGCAAACTCGATTCTGACTTACACTAAGGCCCCTGTGCAGTATCAGAGTGGCAGAAAGTTGATGTAAATTACAATTTCACTTACCTTAAAGCTGCTTTTCACTCCCCGAGTGGCATAAAAGTATAAGGGCTAGGCTACATATGGAGTTGTTCCTGATTAACTCCATGTGTGGACACACCTAAGTATTCCAGAATAAGAGCGCCTTCATGCTGTTTGGCTTAACGCAAAAAGTGGGTTAAGCTAAGACTCCAGAATAAAGGAGTCCAAATGTAGGGTTAATCAAGAATGATGCCATGTGTGGACAACATCCAGATGAGACTCAGCCCGATTGGATGAAGGAGATTTTGGAAACTAGGACAATCTTGAGGAACACATACTTCTACAGAGCTTCTTGACCTGCCATTTTAGACATTTAAAGTGATTTTTTAAAAAATCTGGATGAGCCACTTCTTGATTTTGGGCAGCAGTGATGAGAAGACTTGCAAATTTTGGAGCTTGAAAACCTTTGGTAGAAGCCACAGTGAATTAGATTTTCTGTGTACTCTTTGAAGCAAATTTAGCACCATTAAAATGGAGCTTGTAACTCCTCAAGTCCTGTACGTGGTGCTCATCTTGTCAAAAAAGCACTAGATAAATTCATGGAGGTTAGGTCCATCGGTGGCTATCAGCCCGGATGGGTGTCCCGAGCCTCTGTTTGTCAGAGGCTGGAAATGGGTGACAGGGGAGGCATTGGCCACTGTCGGCAGACAGGATACTGGACTAGATGGACCTTTGGTCTGACCCAGTGTGGCCATCCTTATGTTCTTAAGTCCCTGCCAGCTTTAAGGACTGGAGTCCTCTATCTAAAGTACAGATGTGGCACAAGCAATATCAGGGCAAACATCCAAGTGCTTCCTGTTCAGTCTACCCCTCTGCCAAGCACATGCTTCATAAGCACTTTCCTGAATAGGGACAGGGTTAAACATGTACGTAAGTGCTTTCTTAAATCAGGGTCGATCTATGGATTCTCACTGTGTGAATTCCCTTGCGATGGAAGAGACGTTTAGGTGGAAGAGACGTTTATTCTTTATGTGTGATCCTTTGCATCTGTGGTGACAGCAAGAGTATAATTGAGCATCTACGGAGTGGTGGATTTCACGATGGATACCAGTGCAGTGGGAACTGACCCATTTATATACGCCGCTGAACCTCCATCAGACAGTAACAGCTTAAGATGATTACCATATCAGGCCAGATTGGAACCAATAGTCTAGACATAAAAATACCCCTTCTGTAATTGCCAACCTTTTTAAGGGGTCTACTGGGTGTCTTTTCCTTTAGCTTTATACTGTCAAGTAACTGTATTGCTTTGATGTAAACGCAGTAGCAAGGCGCATTAATTTTCCCTCCCTCTTTCCTGACTCCTTTAGAATTACAAGGAGCTAGAGTTACTCAGACGCGTGTACTATGGAGGAGTGCAGCACGAGATTCGAAAGGAAGTGTGGCCCTTTTTACTCGGGCACTACAAATTTGGCATGACCAAAAAAGAAATGGATCGGGTAAGTGACAGCTTCTGAGCTGTACATGGGATGTTGAATTCTAGAAGACAATGGAGGTGTAATACCTAGTAAATGTTAAGAAACGTGCTCCGAGGATATGGTCTTTAGAGGGACCAAAACCTGTATTTGGGGGTTTCTCCTGTCTAGTGCAGTGTTTCTCAACCAGTGGTACGAGTACCCTTAGGGGTACTCGAGAGAAGTCTGGGGGGTACGTCAACACAACTGAAATTTGAAGAAAACTGAATTTTTGTGTTAAGTTTTACAGCGCTTTATTATTTTTGTACTTTTTACGCCCAAAAATTCCATTGCCCGCCCGGCTACAATTAAGTCGTTTAAACAAATGTGTTGCAATGGTAGAAAAAAGATGTTGTGTGTCTGAAAACTGTAGGTACTGGGGGTATTTTTTTTTCTTTTGAAAAGGGGGTGCTTTATAAAAAAAAGATTGAGAAACACTGGTCTAGTGGACTTGGGAATTGGAATGCCTGAGTCTGACGCCTTTGTGTGCCACCATGGGCAAGCCCCCTGGCTTTCTGTGCCTGAGTTTCTCCATTTGGGGGATAATTGTCCTCGTGGGGCATTTTTTTTAAATTAGTGCATGGAAAATGCTTTCCTGCAGCAAAGGGGCTACCAAAGGGCAGCACGTTCATCAGTCACAGTAAAGGTGCATCTACGCAGCACCCTAACCTCCAAGTAAGATATGCAATTGGCGCTACGCAAATTGTTTATCTTATTTTGCATCTATTTCGAAATAGCTTATTTTGAAATTTGGCGCATCTACACAGTGCCAAATTTTGAAATAACGCGATCTTTCGAGCCATTCCTTATCTCCTTTGCAACAAGGTTTACCAGGATGGCAAAATAGCACTCCTGTTATTTCGAAAAATATTTCGAAATAACAAGAGGCTTGTGTAGACCCGCAGGAGCTATTTCGAGATACCTCCGGTATCCCAAAATAACCGTGCAGTGTAGATGTACCCTAAGGTGTTTGTCTGGGTGACCTAGTAGTAGTTCAAATGCCCAGGTTTAATACAGCTGTTCAAAATGGCCCATATAAAACTTTGGAGACCTGGCGCTCCTAAAAATAGACAACAAGGGCTGTGTATGTCCACTTTTCCTGCAGCCAGGTAAGACATATCTTCACACACACACACACACACACTTACACTCCCTGCTATTGCAGAGTGTAAATTCTAATATCCTATTTGTACTACATGCACAGCTTTTGCTCTACCACTTCCACACTAATGCTATTTACCTCATTTCAGCCCAAGACTGATACAAATAGTAAAGCCCTAGAAGTAAGGGGGGGTTGTCAGGGAGATTCTGACAGCACATTGATCATAGAGCGAGCAGCCCCGCTGTCATGTTCCCCTAACACAGAGTGCCTCTGCCTCAGAAGAGTTCAGGGTCCCATGCAAGCCGTTGGACATGGCTTCTAAGTAGGGCAGTGACTGTAGGCTCTTCTAATGCCTTTCTTGTGCCAAAAGGGCCAGCAGCAAGTGCACAGCATTTCTTTGTTACACGGTTGTCTGTTTGCAGTTATGCTGACCTGCTCTACAATCACACCCGCACTCGTGGTGGAGAATGCTTAGAGCAGTGCTTTTCAAACTACAGGTCGCAATCCTGTAACTGGGGTTACGTCTAGACTGTTACTTTTTATCGGAAAAAGGTAGCAAATTGCACTCCACAGAAAATCCAGAAGAGGCTTTTCCGAAATTTGGCCCATCTACACTGGGCCAAATTTCAGAAAAACCTCCTCTTTTGGAAAAGCAGACACATTCCCTTGGATGTGGCAGAGTTTTTCCGGAATACCTCTGGTAGCCTGGAAAACTCAGTAGCCTAGACCAGTGTTTCTCAACCTTTTTATATAAAGTACCTCTTTCTTAAAAAAAATTGTAAGTACCCCCAGTACCTACAGTTTTCAGACACACATTTTTTTTCTACCGTTGCAACACATTTGTTGAAACAACTTAATCATAGCCGCGCAAGCGATGACATTTTTGGGTGTAAAAAATACAAAAATAATAAAGCGCTGTAAAACTTCAAAAAAAAATCAGTTTTCTCCAAATTTCAGTTGTGCTGACGTACCCCCAGACTACTCTCAAGTAGCCCTAAGGATACTCGTACCACTGGTTGAGAAACACCGGGCTAGACATAACCTGTGTCTCATTGCTGCAGGGGGATCAGGTGACCGGGAGGCGTTAAGGCAGCTCCCTGCCTGTCCTGGCACCACAGATTGCGCGGTGCCCCAAAAGCGGCTGGCAGCAGGCCCGGCTCCTAGACTGTGGGCACACAGAGCTCCACGCGGTGCCCCTGCCCTGAGCACTAGCTCCGCACTCCCATTGGCTGGGAACCTGCTGCTGGCTGCTTCTGACTGCTGACCTGGAGCTGCTCAAGGTAAACCCCTCCTGCCCCAGCCCTGACCCCCTCCCAAAGCCAGAGCCCCCTCCCACACCCCAAAGCTCTCCTCAGCCCCACCCCGGGGCCCACACTCCAGTCACGTTATGTTGGGTCGCGGCACCAACCATTTTCTTCAACTGGGTCATGAGAAAAAAAAGGGGTTGAAAACCCCTGACTTAGAGCAACACAGCGTCCCCTGCAGTCATGCCCAGAATGTGCCACCTGCTTTCCCCCTCTCCC